TGAGACTGTCCCGAAGTCACTGCATGATGGGAGTGCTGTCTTTATAAGACACTTCACTCAGTGTATCCAACTCAGGAATTGCTTCATCAAATGCCATGTTTACCAAGTTGCAGGCCTTTTCAGGAGAGTTTAGAATCCCATAGCAAAAGGCTGAGAAATTAAGTGCCAGGCCTAGTCAAATTGGGTGTGTGGGCTGCATATATTTCTTACTAATTTCAGATGCTTCCTGGTAAGCCTGCTGGGAGTTTATCGGGAGAACCCACTCCCAATGTTTAACATGGGTTTTTTTCTATTTCCTAAGTGTCTCGGCTCAGTTGAGAAATAAAGGAAAAGAGCACAAGAGAGAGAAATTTAAAGCTGGGTGTCCAGGGGAGACATCACATGTCGGCAGGATCCGTGATGTTCCCTGAGCTGTAAAACCAGCAAGTTTTTATTAGTGATTTTCAAAAGGGGAGGGAGTGCACGAATAGAGTGTGGGTCACAGAGATCACATACTTCACAAGGTAATAAAATATCACAAAGCAAATGGAGGCAGGGCGAGATCACAGGACCACCGGATGAGGAAAAATTAAAATTGCTAATGAAGTTTTGGGCACGCATTGTCATTGATAACATCTTATCAGGAAACAGCGTTTGAGAGCAGGTAACCTGTATGACCACAATTTATTAGGTGGGAATTTTCCCATCCTAGTAAGCCTGGGAGCACTATAGGAGACCAGGGCTTATTTCATCCCATCGGCTACGACCATAGAAGACGGGATGCCTTAAAAAGGGGCCGTCTATAGGCCTACCTTCAGGGCGCATTCTCTTTCTCAGGGATGTTCCTTGCTGAGAGAAAGAAAGCAGTGATATTTCTCCTATTTGCTTTTGAAAGAGGAGGAATATAGCTCTGTTCCGTCCGGCTCACCGGCGGCCAGTTCAAAGTTACCTCTCTTGTTCCCTGAACATCGCTGTTATCCTGTTCTTTTTTAAAGATACCCAGATTTCATATTCAAACACACATGCTCTACAAACAATTTGTGCAGTTGACACAATCACAGGGTCCTGAGGCAACATTCATCCTCCTCAGCTTACAAAGAAGATGACGGGATTAAGAGATTAAAGACGGGCATAGGAAATCGCTAGGATATTCACTGGGGAAGTGTTAAGTGTCCATGAAATCTTCATAATTTATGTTCAGAGATTACAGTAAAGACAGGTGTAAGAAATTATAAAAGTATTAATTTGGGTAACTAATAAATGTCCATGAAATCTTCACAATTTATGTTCTTCTGCCGTGGCTTCGGCTGGTCCCTCCGTTTGGGGTCCCTGACTTCCCACAACAGGAGTTCAACAGAGTAGTTTGTTTATTGTCTCCAGACGACACCCAGAAAGATACCTGAAATGATCTCCTTTCATTTCCAAACAGAACACCTTGCTTTCAGGGTGTGTAGCATGGGGAGTGAGGGACCTGCCCAACCACTCTGGAACCTCATTGCCGATGTCCAGCAGCTCTGCCTCTGTCTTCCACGGTACTCTTTGCCCATCTGCTGCTTCTCATTCCTCCCTGTTCCCTGCTCAGTGCTGGAGATGAGAATCCAGGAAGAACGGCGGGC